ATGACCAAGAAAAAATCTTTATTCTCCTTTTGACACTTAGATTTCAGCTTAAGGTTGCCTCCTTTTCTCTCTCCTTCGCCGCTTAAAGATCTTCTTTCAGAAGTATCCCTCTAGGTACTTTTAGATTCAGGGTACCTTGCTTAGATGTTCTCTGTTGCTTAGCCCGGTCTGTCCTGCTTTCCTCTTTGTCTTCCTCCTGCAGAATCGTATCCAGTCGGGTTCTTCTTTGATGTGGCTATTTCTGACCACCGCTGCAACCGCCTTCGGGGAAGGGAATTTAGACCAGCCAGGGAGGAGAGATGTGGCTCCCCTCCGCTCGGCTAGCAATCTCCCCCCTCTTCACCACCTCTACGGGGTGGCTTCAGCCCCAAATCCAAAGGATCGGGGCGCTAAAGCGGTGAGCACAGATCGAAACCACGCAGGATCACTGATTTTGGTCTGTCGCTGAAGAGACCTAAACCAGAAGTCCGCATGTGCAGTTATTTTGATGGAGTTTTCATTATTTGGTATTTAATTTTCATTTTATTATTGTAAGTCATACAGTCATCTGAGTTAAATGATTTATAATTGTTTGTAAATAAACATTATTTCCCAATAAAAATCCCCAGATAATCTGGCAGTGGTGTATATATGTCCTATGCAAGCCATCCCCAACTTGACACTCCTCAGATGCTTTTAATTATAACTTCCATAATAAACATGTTGATTGGAAATCCATACATGGTCTTTGTTTCAGTGTATAGTTGTTAAAGCCTTTTGGAATATTTCTTTAGTGTGTAATTTCTTGAAAGAATACATGTTCTACTCTAGTAGCCAGAAGTGAATTAATTTATTGCCTGAAGTTGCTTTGTCCCAGTGAGTTTTCTGCTTTGCATGTACTTCTTACTCTAGATTTGTAGTTTTGATATACATGTAATTTGGATTGTGCAAGATTATCCTGTCCTACATTGTTGGCACTGCATGCAAACATGCAAGAGCACAACATCTTAGCAGAAGATTCATTCATGCACATAGCTTGCCCTGCCAATGTGATAGGCTTTTTACATGTCAGGCTAAAGTTGGATTAAGGTGAGTTGGCAGGAAATGCTGGTGTTTTCCACTGAAAATGGAACATTCTATGTTGCAGGAAGGAGAAATGGAACTTGCAAGGCTCCAGTTGATCTATTGCCAGTACCTCTTCTCCCCTTTGGTTTCAGGGCTCTGTGTCTCTATGAGACACCGTTGTTTAGCAACTGCTGGAAAGAATAGAATCTTCATGTGGCAGCCATTTTTTTTCAGTAAGGGGAATATCAAGGTCTTCCACAAGGTCAATAATATCCTTTGTGCACACAAAAAAATAAAGAGATCAGCTATCCTAATTGCAGCTATGCATTAGCAAAACTCCCAACGGCAGTTCCTAGAACCTCCCTTCTCTTTGTCCTCATTCAAGTGCACCACTTCCTGTATGGTCCTCAAAGTCAACCCACTTCCTTCCAGGCAATGTAAATTTGGTGAGGCTGATCCCTTCCACTTCTCAGGAGGGGGGCATTCACCTTAGCAGCTGCCAATCTTCCTACAGAAAAGAAGAGGTAGTTGGATTGAACTTTTTGAGATGGTGGTAGTGCTGGGACGTCTAGCAAGTACTCTGCATATGAATGAATTGGCTGTGACACTGCAAGGCAGACCTACTGTGCTATAGCCAGTAGCCTTCCTGCTAAAGTGCATGATAGGAAATCTCTGTCAATCTAATCTCAGACACCTGGCTATAGGGGACAGTGCTTTTCCAGAAAACATACTTACCTCTAATCACAAAAATGAGCCCAGAGTGTGCTGTGTTGGACTCTATCTTTTCACCAGGCTTCTGTTCCAAGCTTCAAGTGAATGGAATTATTTGAGTATAATTTTTTTTGTGGAGGGATTGGTAACCAATTCGAAGTGCCTATAACTATAGCTTGTTTCTTGAATCAGAGCAAAAGCACCTGCTTCAATTGGACTCCACTTATTTGGCTTCTCTCTTCCTTGCCAGGAAGAATAAACAGTGAGTGGGAAGAAACTAAGAGCAAGAGTTTATATAAACATTTGTCTGGTTTTCAATTTTATAGAAACTCATTTAACTCCAATCTTCTGGATTTCAAAAGAAGACACAATATGCTATGTGGAGCTTTTTCTTTTATTTCTGAACTGTAACAAAGTGCTCATGATCAAACATATGAACAGCTTAACTCTAGTTTCTGAAACATGATGACACATTTGCTTTTTTGCAACATAAGTATATTGGCAAATAGAGCATTTAAAATCTGGATGTCGTTGTAAGAGGTGGAATGTTGCTGATACCTACATTTTTGTCCATCTGCTCCTGCCTATTGTTGTATCATTCCAATCAGTATATCCATATATTCTTGCACGAGGAGACAATCTGTCACTTGCAAGGTAATTCTATACAGTGTAGAATAGAGTGTATGCCCTTAGGATACTCACAGGATTTAACAGTCTGATTGATATATATATATTCTCTCTCTCTCTCTCTCTCTCTCTCTCTCTCTCTCTCTCTCTCTCTCTCTCTCTCTCTC